AGCGGTCATATCGGCTAGTTCGACACGGTTAGGATGGGGAAAACTTGGAAAATCCTCCGACAGATCCTCCTGACTTCAGCCTCCCATCCTATCCGTATCGAACTCCGTATATCCAGAACAGGCCAATACGACCACTCCTTTGCCCCTAGAGCTTTTGACATGTTTCAAAATTTTTAAAATCTTTAAGATATTCAAAATGTTTAGAATTTTCCAAGTTTTCAATATTTCCAAAATTTGGAGGAATTCTAAAATTTTAAAGATTTCCAATATTTTATTGAATTTTCAAAATTTGCATTATTTTCAAAATTTTCAAAGTTCACAAGGTTTTCGAAATTTTAAAAATTTTCAAACTCAAAATTTCCGAAATTTTCAAAATTTTGAAGATTTCTAAAAATTTAGGAAATTTTTGAAAATATAAAAATTTTCCAAATTCCAAGACATTCAAAATTTCCAATATTTTTAAAATTTTGTAATTCCCAATTTTCAAAAATTTTAGAATTTTCAAGGTTAAATATTTTGTTTTTAGAGTTTTCAAAAATTGCCCCATCCCAACCGTGTCGAACTTTGTACAGCCAGAACTGACCGATACGACCGCTCCTTTGCTCCTAGAGCTTTTGAAATGTTCCAAAATTTTAAAAATTTTCAGGATTTTCCAAATTTTCAATATTTCCAAAATTTGGAGGAATTCCAAAATTTTAAAAATTGACAATATATTATTAAATTTTCATAATTTTGGAAATTTTCAAAATTTTCAGAATGTCAAAATTTTCAAAATTGTCAAAATTTTCGGAATTTTAAAAATCTTCGAAATTTTCAAAATTCTCAAAACTTTCCTTATTATTAAAAATTTCAGGGTTCAAAATTGTCAGTTTTCAGAGTTTTCAAAATTTTTCCCATCCCAATCGTTTCGAACTTCGTACATCCACAACTGGCCGATACGACCGCTCCTTTGCGCATAGGCTATCGAGAATGAGGAACAACCTTACATAGTTCAAAAATCCACCTTACACCAGCCACGGTTATGCGGCTACTTAGTTAAAAAAAAATAAGTAATGTCTGGTGTCCCTGAGATTATCACTTAAAAGTTTGCTTGTCTTAATAGAGTACTTTCGTTTTCACCGTGCTAAATATCACTCTGTTAAAATAGATAACGATGCTCGAATAAACGCTATGCACCTATTTTTAGCGTCGACATTAAAATACTGGGCATTGTTCAATCCATCTGGTGACCATCACGCATCCCAACAATCCTTTCAACAGGTTTTTGTCTAATCGAATTCGCCTGTTGTTTATATTAGAACAATTCCTACACATCTTTGTTATAAATAGTTTGGGTGCCTACAAGGATAATGCATTAGATATGTTTGAAAGTTTGGCTTTTGCCTCTGAATCATAGATCAGTTTTGTTATTCCAGCGGAGATATATTGGTATTGCCGCATGCTTTTTAGCATTCATCAGTACGATATATTTCGGCTGCAGCGGTGCTACTGAGAGAGAATAGCAAACATATCAGGGGGAGGGATCTGGCCTAATGAATTCACTAAGTCACAGAAAAAGAATACAATAATGAATTTGTTGAAACATTTTTTTTGTAAAAAAGCATCTGGTTAAGGCGACATAGTCCTAGTGCCAATAAAAAAAGAACATTTTTTTATTTACCTGTCTGGTAGGGTTAGCTAAGTTATTGATCGACATTTCTGTCCTTTCTGTTATGCAAAGATACTAACTGACAGCAATATCTATTTTTGTAATCTATTTGGAATATCGAAGCTGTCATCCTTCCCCTTGCGTACGAAAATAGTCCAACTTAATGTCCATCACACTAATTACCTAGTTCGTTATATTCCGCGGTTACGTCTTAATTTTGTATCTTGGAAGGTATACGTTTGGCGCCAAGTCGGTTCAGTAGGCTGGAAATTAAAATATCCGACACATGTTCATATTTATTTTATTTTTGAGAACATACACGATAAAATAGTTTGCAAAATTTCTCTTGTCAACGTCCAACATGTCTCTTATTGACAGGTTATTTTAACTTATGGTGAGGGTCTTCGAAACGCTACCGAGGCTTAGCGAGTAGATGCAGATCGTTTTTCACGATCTTTCGTGATTTCTTTGTTTGTATGGTGCGAAACGAAATGTTTAGTGTAATCAGTTCTTATAACCGTACCTGAAATTTCTTTTCGATACATTTTCAATAATTTTTCTTACGATTTCGCTTTTGCTTGCTGTTACGTAGTTGCATCTGAAAAGTGCCAACTTTCAGGGAGAAAAACATCAGCTCTATTACATCCCGACGGTAATAGAAGGAATGCGCTGCATCCCTTAGCAAAACGGCGTCGCCTTGTTCGCATGCCCGACTTCCTAAAAAGTGTTTACATTTATTTCTGGATAGACGGGCATCGCCGTCGCGATAAAGAAAAAACAAAACAAAAAACTGGAATGACGCTGGAAGAAGCGCCAAGCCGGGATGCCGATGCATAGATATTTCGAAAACAAAGATGGGAAAGATTACTGGCATGTTTTCGTGTCTGCGATCTACCGATTCGAAGAATTTTGTTGGAATCGGCTTAGTCGGAGGTATTGTATCGTATATAATTGGCTATGACAACCGTTAAGGAAACTTGTTTTAGGAAAAAAGAAAATGTAAAACAGAATTGATACGGTCGCAGAAGGGGTAGAATTATAACGGAGTATTTTATATATATCACTATACAGTGCTTTTCTTTAATTTCGCGGCGAACATTTTCAAACATAGTAACATCGATATTTCTACAAATATTTGTTATTCTCAGCCGTACGTCCAATATTGAAGCAGGTTCAGTTTCCTACACATTTTGCTTCAAATAGCCCCATAAAAAAAGTCTAAAGGTGTCAAATCTGGCGAGCGAGCTGGCCATTCCACAGGATATGATTTCCCAATATCGGGAAACGACCATTGAAAATCCTTTCGGTCTCGTGAAAGTTACGCGTCGCACCATAAATAAATACCGCTTCGATTGTTTCTTCCAATGGACGAGAATTGACCATTTTAAAAATAGTTCAAAAAGTGTCTACCACTAAAACCGAAAACTAAATAAGAATATTTTAACCGTACAATCATGTTTGTTTTCGTACTGATATTCTTGCCACTGTCAACAAAAAATAACGAAACAAGTTTTTATCGCTGTTGCTGTGGATACGGCAGGGAATTATAATTATTTGTAGAGGTATGCATGTTTGTGGGTTTTTGTTCAAGTAATTATTAAATGTACCACCATTTTGTAGTAGGTAAAGGTATTGACTTTATATTCTAGGGTTATAAAGTATTCGTCAGGAGTTTTGAACCGCTTCGATTGTTTCTTCCAATGGGCGAGAACTGACTATTTTAGAAATAGTTCAAACAGTATCTAGCACGAAAACCGAAAACTAAATAAGAATATTTTAACCGTACAATCATGTTTGTTTTCGTACTGATATTCTTGCCACTGTCAACAAAAAATAACGAAACAAGTTTTTATCTCTGTTGCTGTGGGTACGGCAGGGAATTACAATTATTTGTAGAGGTATGCATGTTTGTGGGTTTTTGTTCAAGTAATTATTAAATGTACCACCATTTTGTAGTAGGTAAAGGTATTGACTTTATATTCTAGTGTTATAAAGTACTCGTCAGGAGTTTTGAACCGCTAATTTGATACTTTACGTCCCCTATTAAAAATATCCCATTTTTAGAGCTGCGTTTGCTAATAGAACAAACCAGCAGTGCAATACGTTAACTAGCGCGCGCCTGATATGCAAGTTTTGATTTGTTCCGCGGGTCCTAGGTACATGAAACTTTATTTAGAAATGTTTTAATATTGTTCAAGCAAAATTATAGGGAATGCATTTGAAAAAAAATAACTTTCACCTTTTAGGGATACCCTAATGTCCATGCTTCCACCTTTTTTTGTGTAACTCAAGTTTAGTCATTTTGGTTTGGGTGCTACGCCTTCCATTTTTGACCCGCAGCGTCAATAGAAACAGAAGATAATCATCCAGGTGGAAATCTATGCGATTCTGGCTTCCGTATCCCGCAGTCTGGATGGGGAATGGCCTCCGGTATTTAGGCGTCTACCTGCACCTGATACGTTGACAGTGCTTGGATCAGAACAAGCAGGGTCTTGATTTGTGCTAGCCTGTTGCTTCAGTATGACAGCAAAGTAATAGCGAGAGTGTATGAATTACCGTAACAGCAACTGTCTATGCATTCTCGCTTATAAATATAAAGATAGTACAATTAAACTACCTCATTGTTGTTCTATTTTCGCGACATAATTATAACAGTTTGCTTAGAAGATGAGTCATGTAATGCACCGGCTCTGGCTCATCTCGGTATCTCAACGCGCTATCAGTGCCAAAATACACACTTACAATGTCAGTGAAACAGAAAGTTAGGAATGGCGGGAGAAGAATCTCAGTTTATTTTTGGATTTCTAGATAATTTTAACTGTGTCACTCCGGAAACGACAGATATTTTTGCAGGATGTAGCAAGGTCGAGACAGGTAAAACAATCTTCCAAAACAACATGAAATATAACCGGGTCCAAGTTTTTTTATAATGAAGCTGTCGCGTAAACAGAAACCTAAATACTGGGGCAAAGAGTGCAAAGATGTGGATCGGATTGATCATACAGGAATGGAGGTCATTGATATGTAATGTCCGAACCCAATTTGAGATATCTCAAAAACGGTGTAGTGTGTGCAGAATGTCCTACTGGCAAAATTAAGCCTCATCTCTTATAATAGAACAAATCTTTCTTTCATGATCATGCACTATTCACTTATCTGGACAATTGATAATTACCTTATTTTTTAATGACTTGATGGCCGAAAATATTATGTAATATAATCAGCATACGTCAAGGAAATCGTGTTTCGAGCTAAACTTAGAAAATCGGCCCAGCAACACTATTTCAAGCTATTCACGTCACCGAAACGGACTACCTCAAGGGAAAACTAATTTAATGACAAAACTTTTTAGAAAGTTTGTGGATCTGCCAGTCCGCTACGACACCTTTCCTGTTCCGTACACAGTTTCCCTATCTGTCTGGAAACAAACTAACGAAGGTAATTCCAAACTTGATAATCTGTCCTCTTATTTTGTTTTATTTCTGCAGTTTATGGCATCAGGTGCGGAACGAATACAGCCGCATTTAGTGAGATAAACGTACGTCCAAAAAATATCCGTGATTTCGGCATCACTTATCAAAGCTGTGTTTATCCTTTTCGCAATTATTAATCAGAAATCTACTATGAAAAGGTTAATGTCTCATATATGCTGTTTTATGTATTTATATGTCGATGTACTATGGATAGAGGACAAAATTAAAATCAATTAGTTAGTATTTCTGACGTATTACTTATACTGGTCAGGAATATACAAGATTTTACAAGTATAGACTGTACCACCACGCGCACCAACTGTATATTTCTGTAGGATTTTACAAATGTATTTCCAGTAGAAGAAACAGTAAAAAACGTGTACCTATAATTTGCGTCTATAAGTGGAAGGCCATATATATATATATATATATATCGTAGTACAAACTAATCTGATGTACCTAGTAAAGTCTACTTTAAGCTTTAAATCAATAAATCTTCAAAACTACTGAACTGAAGCTCATGTATTTTACATCATTATAAAGGGAATTGAAAGTCCTTTAAAATAAGGTATCACTCGACCCCCCTTTCCATTTAAGATTTTAGGGTTGGTGTCACCCCCGCCCAGGGGGCTGCACGTGTTAACGTGATTTTTTGCCAAACTTGTGTCCTCCTCGAAAACAAAATCGACGGGTCTGAGCGTTTTTCAAAAAAAAAAACTGAGCCAGTAAATGCGTCTGTTTCGTTTTCGATGCGCCACCCTGTATATCAGGAAGAGAATGGGGCCTAAAAATATTTATTAGTTTAGCATAACACATAGTTAGGTGTTTGCTCTCAATATTTTTTCTATTTCAAATATAAACCTTAAATGTGTCAGTGAACAGATGCATATAAGGCATCCGAAATCCGGTAGAGAAATAGAAAAAATGTGGCTACACTTCCATAGATCTGTCCTCAGTACGTTTCACACCCAAATTCACGAGACGGTTATATTTAGACAAAGAATCTACTCAAAAAAAAAACATGTAATTAAGGATATAACTGATGCATACCAAAAGAAGTAATACATGATACGACAAATGCACGTCATTCTTGTTAATTGTCACACGAAATGAATGTTGAGTTATAAATAAAATACTGATATTTCCAGTGAGCTGATAATTGAACTCAAAAAGAGCTGTCTCTGTTACTTTGACTAATCTAAAATATTTCTTTGCTTTGACTATTATACTCGTATTTCTTGCAATAACAGATACAGACGTCACATATAACAGCATCATTTTTCTTGGAGCCTTTAAAGTGAATGAAAAAACTCCTCATCCATGCTTCAATTTCCTTAGAAAGATGTACGATTGTCAGTGATATCAAGTACTCCATATTTCTTATGAAAGCTCATTTTTTATGTTGTTCCTACGTATCTGTATCACGTTGATGCTTACAAGGTGATCTGTTACATTTCGTTAAAGCGTAGCTTTGAACTAACAGCTACTACTTGAATTAGTGGAATCGTTAGGGACGAAGGAGCGGTCGTATCGGCCAGTTCTGGACGTACGAAGTTCGACACGGTTAGGATGCTTGTCACTTTGCATTCCTGGATTTAAGGAGGTCGTTGGTATGTGAGATGAACAATGTGGGAGTCAAGACCGATCCCTGGGGAACACCCGCGTTGTCATTGTGGAGACCCGGCAATTACGAGGGATCGCTGGTATCTGGAACAACATTGTCACTAAATATTTGATCAAGAGCTAACTTTTAGAGAGCATATAACTGAAAAAAACGCATTGATGGCTTATGGCTTCATAGTAAGGAATTACAAAAATTAAAATAATATAAAGTCCATTAAGCTGCTATATTATGCATATGTTCGATCGAAAGTAGAACATTGTAGTATTAAGGCTACAGGCCAGGATCGATCTTCCTAAGATATCTGCGTAATTTGATGCATCACCAATACAGAGTCCGTCTACTTGATATCACTTTTTTGCTCTACATTCTCTATCATGCCCCGTATACTGGGAAGACTGACCTGATTACCCTGTACACATCAAAATACAAATTTAGATAAGTAAGCCTTTCTTTATCTCCCTTTTCTGTGTCGTTCTTTCTCATGTTTTTTTTTTGTTGTGATTAATGTAACGTCCTTTTGAGAGCAAGCGGGCCTATACCGCTAAATGCAAACTTAGGGTGGGTTCCCGTTATTTTGAAAGATTTCCAAGCCATCCATTATAAGTAGTCATGCCAGCATGATGATAGATATCGTGGACAAATTACAGTTTAACCGACGGGATGCGACTATGGAGAAGGGATATGCCATGTCGACTAACAATTTTTTTGAGAAATGGGATCTTAAACGTGACCTATTTAGTCCAGGAAGTATAATTTTTTATATTTTGATCTGTGTCTTTGCATAATTCTGACGAACATGCATGTTGCCATGCTCAAATTTGCGTCAAAAATATGAAATGTATAATTTTTCCATATCCAGATTAAGGTATGCGTTGACCAAATCAATGATAATAAAACGTTTATCGATATGATAAACTACTCGCGCTGCTACTTCAAACTTAATTCCGAAAGATAATTTATGATGAAAAGGTACTTGTTTACTATGCCATTTGTTTTGTTTTATGGACACCCTACTCTACGATATAGTCAATCGTGAAAAACAAACGTTGAGAATTTTACGATATGATCAATCGACGATGAACAAATCATTAAACGTTGGCAATTTTGAGATATGGTGAATCAACGGTGACGAACTCGTTGATCGTTGAGAATTTCACGATTTGGTTAATCGACGATGACCAATTCGCTGAACGTTGGCAATTTTACGATATGGTCAATCGACGATGACCGAATTGTTAAACGTTAACTATTTATCGATATAGTCGAGTTGGCTATTTCAAGAAATACGACAATAATTGGATATAGCCAATCGACGATGACTAAATCTGTAAACAATTTTACGTTATGGTCAATCGACGATGACCAAATCATTAAGCGTCGACAATTTAACGATATGATCAGTCAACGATGACCAAATCGTTAAACGTTGACAATTTTACGATATGGTCAAACGACGATGACCGAATTGTTAAACGTTAGCAATTTAACGATATGATCGATTCGGCCATTTTATGAAATTCGAAAATTTTACGATATGGTCAATTGACGATGACCAAATCGTTAAGCGTCGAATGGTTAATCGACGATGATCAAATCGTTAGGTGTCGACTATTTAACGATATGGTTAGTCAACGATGACCAAATCGTTGAACGTTGACAATTGTACGATATGGGCAATCGACGATATGGTCGAGCCATTTTAAGACATTCGACAATAATCCGATATGGTCAATCGACGATGGCGAAGTCGTTAAACGGTGACAATTTTACATTATGGTCAATCGACGATGAACTAATCGTTAAACGTTGACAATTTTACGATATGGTCAAACGACGATGACCGAATTGTTAAACGTTAGCAATTTAACGATATGGTCGATTCGGCTATTTTATGAAATTCGAAAATTTTACGATATGGTCAATTGACGATGATCAAATCGTTAAGCGTCGAATGGTTAATCGACGATGATCAAATCGTTAGGTGTCGACTATTTAACGATATGGTTAGTCAACGATGACCAAATCGTTGAACGTTGACAATTGTACGATATGGGCAATCGACGATATGGTCGAGTTGGCCATTTTAAGAAATTCGACAATAATTCGATATGGTCAATCGACGATGGCGAAGTCGTTAAACGGTGACAATTTTACATTATGGTCAATCGACGTTGAACTAATCGTTAAACGTTGACAATTTTACTTGGTCGAATTGGCCATTGTATGAAATTCCACAATTTTTGCGATATGGTCAAACGACGATATCCAAGTCGTTCAACAGTCTTACGATATGGTCAATCAACGACGACTAAATCGTTAAACGTTGACAATTTAAGCTATGGTCAATCGACGATGTCCAAATTGTTAAACGTTAACGATTTAACGATATAGTCAATCAACGAGTACGTTGACTGCATACGTCTCCAGTATTCAGGTCTAGCAAGTTAATCTTTGCACCTTGATAGTGATACAGCTATTTTATTTCAAATAAAATTGTCAGCTTTGGGACTAGGGTAGAGCGCTGTTTCGATGGTTCACAACGGTGCATTATTACATTCCTTACTGACACAATTCTGATCCTTTTTGTAAAGAAATACCCTTAAACATGGTCACTAGGAATTAAAATGCTTTAAATACTTTTCGCATTGCCACTACGGTTGTACACATGGCCTGCTATTGTCTATTATTATATGGAATCACCCTCTGTTACAATGCTATTTTAAGCTAGCATCAGAGAACAGATGATAAATGGTATTATATTTTTGGATAAAAAAATTGGCAGCAAGTTCTCTGACACATGTGTAATGATTCGTTACGTTGTGTGCCGTTCTTCCTCGCATTATTAAGCTTTTAACAATGTACGGAATGTTGTCTAACAATGCTATATTATACCAAAGTATAACATTATGCTTGTACACCATTTATATTTTCGAAATGTCGGAAACTTTTTGTTGTAATATTTACTACGATCAAATTCATTAGAGAGTTGGTTAACATCTTAAATTTGTAACATCTGAGGCTGTCTAAATCTTCTACTGTGTCCACCCAAAAGGTTTTGTACGATATACACAAACCTGAAGACGCTCACAGTAAGCTAGCATCAAATCTAGCCACATTACTAAATATTCAATAGGTTATTTTTCATAGCAGAAACAAATTTCGAATTTTAAGTGACCCTTTCAGCAGTAACGCTTGACATTGAACAAAATGAGAGTGAATGCTATGACTCTGACTCGTACGCAACACCGTGCATGAGCAAAAAACAGCGAATTGGATTCATTCATGGAAAATCACGGAACTGTGCATACTAAATACAGTATGTGTTCTGTAGGATGGCTCGCTGTCGATGTTGTCGCATTTATCTGGACACTTTAGAATTTGAGCTCAGTGATGCCGCGCGATGTTCCTGATAGACAGACCCGACTAACTTTGGCCTCTA